CCACTTTATTATTGGTTGTGCAGCATTCCCAACCTTTCTAGTTTTGCAGACCAGAGGGGGGAAGGGAAGATGGTTCCATGTGAGTGGTGGGTAAGCATTTGCACAACTCCATGGTGCAAGTGGTGGGCACATGCACCCGTCGCTTGTGCAAATGGAGCTGCACACATGCTCTCTTCCACCGCTCATGCAAGTGGAGCTGCGCTTGCTCACCACTTGTGTGTGAAACTGCATGTACATGCACGCTCACCCACTGCTTCCATGGCCCAGTAATAAAGGCAAGATATAGCTTTCATAATTATCCAACATGCATCAACAAAAAATGTCTTATGTTCCTTGGCTTTTTCTAAAGCCAGATGAACATCTGGCATCTCTTTTTCTATCTAGTGCTCTAATCTGTTGGATGATCCCAGATATTATTTTGCTAGCATGTGAAATTAAGCATACACAATTTGTACACACTGTTAAATGGTTGGGTTTTTTTTTTTTTTTTTTGGTACTGGTCTGTAGATTTAACCTCTTCCCATCTGTTGGCCACTGTATATTTGCTGTTGAGATCTGAAATGGCAGTAACTCTCTAAAAAAGAAAAAGTGAAGTATGGTTTAAAATTGTTTAAAGTATTCAGATCTCATAAGATGGTTCTAGGTGGCAACAATCCATTAAAAAAAATTAAAAACAAAAGTAGTTCCTATATGTATGCAATTTGTGGAAATCACCAGAAACAAGAACCAAGATTTATTACAATGAGATTGATTTTGATTTAATGAAAATAAGCACAACTATTACCAGAAACAAGCAGCATAGGGTGATTCTACAATGTATTTTGATTATCAATCTAGCCAAATTACAAATCTGAGTACTTATAGCACTTTTCTGGGCTTGCAGTTTTTCTGTAAGGTGGATTTGTTTGGGTTTTGGCTATCATCAGGTTCCAGAGAAACAACAAAAATGATTGTCTGATTGAGACTCTCCCTAGATAACAAAAATTAGTCTTTAAGTCTGAGTTCTTCCAGTGGTTGATGGACAGAGTCTTCCTGTGAGTGTACTGTAAGTGGGGCATCAAGGAAGAGGGGCAATCTTTATTCCTCCCACCAGAGATGGGAAAGGGATATTGATTAGATCAGTTTTACTGCATTGTGTACTCACAGGTTATTTTCATCCATATGTACTAAAAAGTAAAGTAACTACAGTACCTGTGCAACACCTGGTAGCTACATGGTGCAGTGTCACCCATTGATGATTCAGGATGATTGCAATTGGATATTTCTAATTGGCTTGAGAAAGTTTAGAAATTGAAGCCAATTTAGTGGCAAGGAAGAATTTCCCAGGGAGATGGGATCCTTCTGGCTGCAGATTTGCAGCTGAGGTCAGTTCAGTTGGAAAGGTACACAATGGAGCTGCTACATACAGTCCATTAATTCAGCTGTCAAGGACTCAGGAGTCCAATTCCACACACAGTATTTGAATCCTTTAATAAATACAGTAACACATTTTAAGAAATTTTGCTGTTATTTCATAGAACTCAAGAGTTGTTTCTAATTATCCTTTGTGTTGCCTTCAAATAACAATTAATTTATGAAACAGATTAATCTGAGGGGGAGAGAACACAAACTTGTCTAAGGAACTTTGATGAGTTTTAAATCTAAACTAGCATTCTGCTAGCTTTGAACTGAATTTTTCCCATACGTTTGGTTGATAGGTATCAAGGGTAGAAAATTTAAATGAAAAGCACACGTGTGAAGGAAGCAAAAGTGCTTCAACAGTGATTAGTAGAGAACAGAAAGTGTGTGCAATGGATTCCTCTATAGGAAACTGAGGGGAACTAACAGGATTTGTTTTTAAGGATCTCCTTGAAGACTTGGGATGAGGGGGTATCATACATTGCTTATTTTAAAACTAAGCAGGAATCCTAAGGGCAAATATGCCCAAGATAAGCATTTCCCACAAAAAATTAACTGCTGGTGAATCAGATCTTAATCTTCTGAAAATCCCAGATTAATTGTAATGCTGTGCACCTCTTCCCTACAAAACATGTGGAGTGGGGGAAAGGGAAAGGTAAATTTCAAAAACATTCTTGCAAAAGACACAAATGCCAGACTACTCAAAGTCAGTCGCCCTAACATGCAAGGATTATTCTGAATTTGCAAAACCAAGCTGACAGGGGAAAGAGAATTGAAGCTTTGCATAATAAAGGCTGCAGGTACTCCCATATTCTTGGCAATAAGCTGCAGCTTATTACCAAGTAAGTATACATTGGATGGGTTGTTGGAGCAAGGGGGCTTCAATAGATCTCTAGTGGATTTAAGCCCACTCTTGCTTCCTTCATAAACCACATTTTTTGATTGCCCCATTTTGCAGTTGCTGCTGGAATTCTTTAAGGGCAGGACCAGGAGAAGCAAATAGCCCGAAACTAAATGAGAAGTAATTAAAACAGGGACAATTTGTACTAATCTGCCTTCTCTACAAAAAGTCTTGGCTAATGCATGAGAATCACTGGGTAAAAGCCCTCTTGGCCATGACAGCCGCCATTTTTCAGAGTATCTAACTTGCCATTGGAGAAAAGATAACCCCACCTCTTTTTTGCTAAGTATTTCATTAAGTATTTTTGCCTAACTCCAGGCTCACAGTCAGTCTATTGTTGGGTTTATATAAGATATTCATGTCTTTCTTGGGGCCACTTGATAAAGAGATATAAACCTGGGAATCTGGAGCCTGATGGTGAGATCCCTTTCCTTCCTTCCTTCTTCTTTCCTTCCCCTCCCCTCCTTTCCCCTCCCCTCCCCTGCCCTGGTTTTAGATTATCTGCTTCTCTGGTTGTATGTAAAGTTGAAGCCAACAATAAAATAAACCCAGGTAACCTATAAACTAATGATGCAGCAAGAATTGTTCAGCTCTATCTTATGATGAAGCTTATACCTTATCAGATAATTTTATTTATTTTATTTATTTGTATCCCACTTTATTATTTTTTTCAAATAACTCAAGGCTGTGAACATATCCAACATACCTTCTAAAATCTAATTTTGCCCACAACAACAACAACCCTGTGATAGTTAGGTTGGGCTAAAAGAGAGAGAGAGAGAGAGAGAGAGAGAGAGAGAGAGAGAGAGAGAGAGAGAGAGAGAGAGAGAGAGAGAGAGAGAGAGAGAGAGAGACTGGTCCAAAGCCACCCAGCTGGCTTTCATGGCGAAGATGAGACTTGAACTCACAGTATCCTACTTTCTAGCCTCATTCTTTAACCACTAGACCCAAATTAAATTGACATAAAGAACAAAACTACTGCAAGTAGAACCTTCAAATTCTCTACTAGCCAAACATCCCAGAGGGATACATAGTGATATCAGATGCCAGTGTAAAGATGAGCAGAGCCACCTGGGACACTTTTCCCCCCTGTTTTCCAAGGTCATCCACTAAGATACCAATTATGATCTAAATCCACCCTTGAACTGAAAGAATCCAGATAATCAATTTCACCTCTGGTTACTGAAAAAAGATACTATTTTGGCAGATTGGAAACTTTATAGAAACTTTCAGTTGGAATAAATAAATAAATAAATAAATAAATATGTATTGATGTCATTGAGATTAAAAAGGAATCTAATTTAGAACAGGGGATAGTAGATAGTTTTAGATATACTAGTACAGTAGATTTTGATGTGATTTTATAATAGATCAGTTAGGTTTCTTACCCACAACTGTGTAAGAGTAGCAGACAACCAAAACAATCACAAACTTGAGGGGTATGAAGCTAGGAGTGGATCTTTGAATGGCAAGTGTATGAAATCTGCTCAGTTGTTCCTCAAAACACAGCCCAGGGCTCAGAATCTCTTGATTCTACAACCTTTGACCAGATTCCACCCAATGGAACTTTAGTTCTATTCAAAAGCAGAGGCAAGCTCTGTAAACCTGAAATATACTGCCCCCATAGAGATGACCATGCTTGGAAGCCAAGAGATACATACACACACACATTTGTGTTTAGGCTGCATGATTTTTATACTGATGATTTTGTTTCTTTAAACTTTAATCCAGAAGAGAAGAACTTGGCATCAGAACTGACTTCTGGTTGCTTCCACCAAAAGCAACATGAAAACCTCAAAAGTCTCCTTATCTATTACTTTCCCATTTGAAACATTTATATTTTCAAAGCTCCAGGAAAAGAAAGAAGGGAAGAAATAATTAATTCAGGAAGGAGGAGGATGGTGGTGGTGAACTGCCTTGCATATGCATGTGTATATGCATACCCATTTTGAGACTTGGAAAATGCTTGGATCAACCTTGCCACCAGCTAATTCTTGATCAGATTCACTGGCCATGATGTTTAATGATTTGCTTAATCAGCATTTGTTCAATAAACCACAGTGATTCACAAACTGCAAGTTATTTGCAGATATTGCTCAGGCATGAAGTCTGAACAACTGAGCCGGCCTGCACCACAATTATCAAATTGTAAGGTTTTGTTTGATAAAGGAAAAAAACAATAAAATTGTTGATTGGAGAGCACATTTATTTACAATTAAATATAATGGGAAATGGAAGGAAATCATATTTGGCCTCATTCCACACTATTTTTCGGAATAGGCCCAGCTTATTTTTGCAAGGTCAGGAGCAATCCTAGTTCAGGGAATGGTTGTGGAACTGTGCTAAAGCAAAACCATAGTCAAAAATTAAAAACTGACCTTCAATCTTACCATCATGATCACCAACGGTGAGCTTACCAGTTTCTTTGGCAACACAAAGGCTCATGTTTTAATCCATGGGAAAAGTTTCATTCATGATTGAAAACATTTTGGCTGATAGCAGAGGTCAGGTCTCTACGTCCTATGTATGACAAAAGTACCATTGATTTTTATCAAATGGAAATTTCATACCTGCATTGGTGGAGATCAACCCTACTGAATTTAATGGAATCTATGTAAACCTCTTCGGGATTGCAATATGGCTTGCACTAATAATTTTGGCATATTTTTGCTGGAATGGAAACGCTCTGAGTGAGGTCACATTTGGTTAGTATTTATTTATTATTTATTAGATTTTTATCCTGCCTTTATTACTTTATAAGTAACTCAAGGCAGCAAACATACATCACACTCCTTTCTCTCCTGCTTTCCCCACAACAACCCTGTGAGGTGGGTTGAGCTGAGAGAGAATGACTGGACCAAAATTACCCAACTCATTCCTGGTTTTTAGGCCAGCACCTTACACCAAACTGGCTTGTAACGTGGATAGAAATCACCAGGGAATCTTGGGGATGGTCTAGGTGGGAGAACTAAAGTGGAGAAAATGGCCTGGAAAAATAAAGTTATGAATTATTTTTGAATTGTTGTGTAGTAAACATCACAGATGGTTCCATGAAATCATTGGGTCTTGAAGAAGATACTTTTCATTTAACTCTGGGCTGGTTTCTGGACTCCAGTATCCAACTTAGCAGGAGCAAACATGGAACCTTTTACTACCTAAATTGGTCAGTTCTCTGGGCCCTGATACCCTTTTTTCCATTCTCTCCCCACCTCCTTTCTGTGTGCTTCAAATATTTCTCACTGGTTTTTTTCCCCAACATTGGAATTTACATCTTCAGACCCATTTTCTCCTCTCTTTCTCTACACTTGTCACCATCGTTTTCAAATTGTGTTTTTTTGGGTTGGGATGGGGTGGGGGAGAGAAATAAAGTTCACCTTCCCCCCCCTCAAAGAGGACTAGGACCCTGAGCATTAAAACCGGGATCTGAAAAAAAAAAACGTAGTGAGCACAGAAGGGAGTAGAGACGAGAGAAATAACCAACTGCTTTGCAATTTGGAAGCAGATCTGGCGATCAGTGGATTGCGAAGAGTTTCAATAAAATGGTTATGCAGCGACCCGAGGCAACCCAGGAAAAAGAGCCAAGCCTCTTTCCGTCCCATTTGGGGAAACTTCCGCTTCCTAAATGATGCGGGTCCGTTTCCTCGGGAATCTTTCATTTTCCTTGAAGAAATTCTGGGAAAGATGGCCCGGCCACTGAAGGTTGCTACCGCTGTCAGGAAAGCGAGCAGGGAGTGGTCAAAAAAGGCAGCGTGGTCGAAGTTGTTTTTTGAGGTGCGGAAACGCGGGCGATTTTGCCACACCCAGCGCACAGCTCTGGTTGTGTTTCGCTACTTCTTGAGACCATCTTTCCCCAGAGCCCTGCCCGGCTACGCTGCCCAGAGCGATTTGTCAATTTGTTATTGACTTGTTTTAAGCACTGAGAAAATCTTAAAAACAACCCAGAGAGCCGGTAGCCGGCTAAACACGAAAGCCTTCACTTCTCGCATTATTATGCTGGATGTCTCGATTTTATTATAAAATAGAAGCAGAAATATCTTTCCAAAGGCGGTTTTCACAGGATAGAAACAATACACAAAATTGTAGGGAGCCTGGCTGGCTAGGGAACCGTCCTTGCCTTTTTGGGGGGGTGGGGGGGCGTGGGGGGAGTGAGAGCGGCGGCAGCGGCGGCTTCTAGAGCCCTGGAGAGACGGCTGTCATCAGGCTCGCTGTTCGCCTTGCTTGGTTTGAAGGGGTGTCCTGGTGTCTGCGTGGGCTAAACCCAGGAGGAAATCCAGGGCTCGCCTAAGACTGGATAATGAAGCACCTTGACTTAGGTTGGCCCCAAAGCTTCAAGGGGAAACACTATTAGTATGAGTATTAAAAATAATAACGAGCGGTAGAGGCTGTCTCAAAGTTAAAATGTGCAAAACGCTGTCCAGTGCCTCACCAGGAACCTCCTGGGAAACTCGCCTTTGTTCCCATTTTGCAGATGAAAGAACTGAGACGGAAGATGTTTGCAGTGTCAAGCAGCTCACCTTTGTAGCTACTGGATCAGGTGGAGGCAAGATATCTGGCTTAAGTGATTTGTGGATGTTGCCTTGTCCTCCCCACCTAAATGTTTGGGTGGGTAGCGGTAGGGAAATACACAAGGCAAAAGAAGCCCATTTTCCTCTTCCCTTCAATCAAGGTTCATGTATAGCACGGGTGTCAAACTCGCCACGTCACGTGATGTGTCGCGACGTGTCGTGACTTTTTTTTTACATTGCCGGAGCTGGGGTGGGTGCGGCCTCCGCATGATGCAACCGGCCCACCGGCCGGCAGTTTGACACCCCTGATTATAGCATCAGCTACAAGGGAGATAGTATTATCTGGAGGAGGTCATGCTTAGAAGCCAGGAGCTTTTTACAAGCTGGTGGTACTACAGCGTTTGAACAGCTAGCATTGGCATATAGTACAATGATCACAAATGTTTTTTCTCTTCAAATAAGTTAAGAGGTGTGGCTTCTTATTTATATTGTTTATATCTCACTTCCCCCCCCCCAAAAAAAAAAACACTCAAGGAAGCATACAGGATACTCCCCCTCCAATGTTATCCTGACAACAACCTTGTGAAGTAGGCTGGCTAAGAGAGCATGGCTGGCCCAAAGTTATCCAGTGTGCTTCATGCCTGAGTGAGGATCTGAACTTGACTCTCCAAGTGTCTTAGTCCTCTACTCTAACCACTACACCATGTTATACTCTCCCCTTTTCTCTACCAGGCCTTTTGATTCTGCCTTAGAAGAAAAAGTATTTCATAAACTGCTGTTCACAAGCTAGATGAATTCTCCAAAAAGGAAAGATTGGCTCTAGGATGAAAACAAAATGTTGCCCTATCACTCTGATCCTGGAAGTAAGCAAATAATCCCATTCTTTGCAAAAGAGTCGCAAGGTTTCCTTATTTCCAGCTGCAGTACGCTGTAAGCCTGATGGAACCATCAACCCGTCAATCAGCCTCTGCATCTGATGAAAGTAGCACGTGGCCTTTCCATGGCCTCCCTCCAGAGGTCATTGAACTAGAATTCTCAGCAGCCTGCACTCATCCTGGCTGGGAAGAAGCAACAATCTGAAGAGCCAGATCTGCCTTAGACAAGAGTCTTTCATTAACATTTCTGCGATTACATGGGCAAGTGATTGCTGCCACAAGCAAAAAAATAAAATAAAAATGGATTTAAGATTTGACAAATTTACGGCAGATAAAACTATCTGTGTTGCCCAGTTACTAAAGCCTTCAGATTTAGAAGTAGTATAGCATGGGATGCCAGTTGGTGGTGGGGGCAATCATAGGGGTTAGGGTTCCCAATATCCTGTTGGAATTGATGGAGCTTTGGCCTCAGCTCTTCAGTTCTCAACAGCTTCATGAATTGATCCCTGCAGATCAGGTTGAGGCACATTTACAGAGGCATGTTAAGAAGTTGAAATCCAAAGGTGGGTTGGATCTTGTGCAAGAGGCTGTGTGGGCTGAGACTCCCGGCCTTCATTCTGTCAAAGCAACAGCTTTTACACCAACCTCCACCCCATCCTCCCTCCCTTCCTTCTTCCTACAGTAATGTCCTCCACTTTTCTGCAGTGAGTTTCACCACATCCTCTTAAGATTTAAGTCATTGGGCAGCTTACAATGTCTCTGAATTTACAGTATGCTCCAGATAAAGTAACAGTCAGCTGCTCGGCAATTGATCCAAAGTGAAACAATGGATCATTTTTTATAGATCCTTGTAAGGTTTCAGATCCTTGGTTTGTGGAACAGAGGAATTAAGTGGGGAAAAAGAAGAAGAAGAGGACAACCCAGATGAAGAGAGCCTGGGTTCAGGGAGCATGGTAGGTTCAGCAAATATTTTTAAGAGCCCAGATCGACCAGATTTGAAGACATGGAGTTGAGGATGGAGTCTTGCAAACTGTGATGATGCAGAGGGTCCGCGCTGGGAACTGGAATGGCGCTAGGACCCTGAGGATGGCCCAAGCTGTGGAGAGGTTGTAAGCCTGGGTTTGAATTGAGAAGTAAGGCAGGGCTGGAGGAGGAATGATCCGGGGTGCCGGAGGGCGTTTTCTCATCTTCGGAACTGCCCAAAACTGTCTTATTGCCGTTGAGGGAGGAGGAAAGCGGATTGTGGCCATTGGAACTGGAATTTTCATTGTTTTCCCTAAAAGGGAGGGGGATGGGAGAAAGAACAAGGGAGAGAGAAAACATCAGATTGTAAAAGGACACAACATAACACCCCTCCCTCACGTGCATCCTTAATAAAAGTACAAGGTGCTGAAATAGTATGTTGTGTGTGTGTGGGGGGGGAGGAGATACCATTTGCTCATGGATTGCATAGTAGAGGCACAGAATATAAATCACCGGTCAGCCTGAAGCCAAGTATGGTTCTTTTCTCCCTACCCCACCTGCGTATAGCACTGAAATAGTTTATTTTTTTAAAAAAAAAAAAATCTTCCAAAGTGATTTATGGACAAGAATAATTTCATTTTGTAGAACATTTTTGTTTGCTTCAACTTAAATGTGAGGGTTTTTTTTGTTTTTTTAAAAAGGGAGCAGAAAGATGGGGGCTCCAATTGTCATGGCTGTCTCTCTTGCAGGAGCCATGGAGAATATAATGTTTCAGATACAAATTATTGCCACCTTTTTGTGGAGGCATATATCTTTAAATGCCTTATCCCAAATTAAGTCAATAGGATACAGTATGGGATATAGGCTAAATAGGAAAGGATGTAGGTTAAATTTCCCATAAACCACTTTGAGATTGGACCTAAGCATTCAAAAAATGCTAGGTAGAATCAGCAGTATGATGGAAATTGTAGAATTTGCATCAGCTGTAAATGATGGGAACTATAGTGGAGGGCTGGAGAAGCTAAGCTATACCATAGCTGGATTTATATACTGTGCCAAACCATTGTGTTAACCATAGTTTATTGAATAAACTACATTTACTGAGTTCACAGACTAACTAAACCATATGAAATATACTTTAACATCACAAATGTTAAATTCACACAGCCAGAACAAACAAATTATATTATTTATTGGTGCTAGGTGTAAACTAGGCTGGCAGTGAAATTATATTTCACTTTATGCCATCATCATTCTAATTTTCCTTTGTTAAACATGCCATAAATAATAAGTTCACATACAATTCTAATCCACATAACATGGTTTATAAGCCATGGCTCATTTCACCCAACATATTAAACCAAAGCCAAACAAACCTCAGTATGCCTTATTAGTGTGTATGTGAACCCAGTCATCATTTGTTAGGTGTATCTATTTTTAAAGAATTATTATGAAACTAGCCTACCAAACCTAAATAATAAACAATCTTCTAAAAAGATTAATGTTGTTTTTATTTCAATAGATATATGTCTAGATAGCAGCCAAGGCTCTGTATTTCCTTAACTTAAGGTCTGTTTGGCACAGCACCCATAAGCTGCTTGCCTCTCATGCTGAAACTCTTGGGAAATTAAGCTAGCTTTATATATTGCTGTCTAGATTTAAATCTTGTTCTTCAGCTTTGGCGGCTATGACAGTCAAGTGCTTTATTTGCATGATGGCTACCATGGACCCTGGTTTGTGGATCCCTTATTCCCCTCCCCCCCGCCCCTATATCTGCCAGACAAGTGAATGCCTGACACTTTCCTCTCCAAGAGTGGGTCTTTGAGGACATATGGCTTCCACTGATAGACTTTGAGCCCCTCTCCCTTAACTTTCTCTCACACTCAATCCAGCATGTATACCCATGGGTGAGGGGTAAAATAAAACACTCCCTATTACTTGACTACCAGGGGAAACTGGCAGAACTGTTATCCATTTACTTGGGTTTTTTAAACAAAAAACAAAAAAAGGCTCACCATCAGTGATCCTGACAAAGAGAGAAAAGGCGGTCCTTTCACAATCTACCAATGCATTTGTTAATAAAGCTACTGTTTTTCACTGGTTCATGTGGAGAAGCACATTCAAAAGTGGGCAGGCAGTCCAGTGGCCCAGGACAAAATGGCTGTGGTAGGCCATCACCAATTATCGGAAAGGAGGGGGCATTCCCCGCCACAGGACATAAACAGGAAATTAAATGCAGCAGGGAGATATGTAAACATGGCTTGGCCCAGCAAAAGGCACTACTTTTGAAATGGAAGGAGAAAAGATTGCCTTCATATGGGCTGACTACAGACAAGCTCATGAGCCCTAATTCTCACTAAAGTTCCCAGTAAAAATGAAGACACAGAACTAGGCCAAGATGGGTCTGGGATCCTGTGGACAGTGACCTGAAAGTAAGTATAGGTAGTCCTCAACTTACAACAGTTTGTTTAATGACCATTCAAAGTTACAAGGGCACTGAAAAATGTGACTTATGACCTTTTTCATATTTATGACCATTGCAGCATCCTCATGGTCACATGATCAAAACTCAGATGCTTGATAACTGACTTGTTTTTATGATGTTTGCAATGTCCCAGGGTCATGTGATCACCTTTTGTAACCTTCTGAAAAGTAAAATCAATGGGGAAACCAAATTCACTTAACAACCATGTTATTAACAACTACAGTGATTCACTTAACAACTGTGGCAAGAGGTCACAAAATGGGGCAAAATTCACTTTACAAGTGTCTCACTTAGCAACAGAAATTTTGGGCTCAGTTGTGGTCATAGGTTAAGGACTACCTGTACCACTGAGAATACAACTTACAACAGTTCATTTAGTGGCCATTCAAAGTTACAACAGCACTGAAAAAAGTGACATGACCATTTTTCAGTTATGACTTTTGCAGCATCCCCATGATCATGTGATAAAAATTCAGATGTTTGGCAACTGGTTCATATTTGTGTCCTAAGGTCATGTGATCATCTTTTGCAACCTTCTGGCAAAAGGTTGAACACGGAAGTCAGATTCACTTAACAACCAGGTTACTAACTTATCAACTGCAGTGATTCACTTAATAACTGAGGCAAGGGAAGTCATAAAATGGGGCAAAATCCACTTAACAAATATCTCACTTAACAACAGAAATTTGGGGCTCAGTTTTGGTGTAAGCCGAGGACTATCTGCATTTACTCTGGGAGTCGTAAATCATATTCACACTTCTACCAAAGGGATTGAAAATGAAAAAAAAAAGCAACGATAATCATTAAATGATTCACACCCATCTTAAACAGAATGGTTCAGATTTCATTAGGTTGGCAGTCACTCCCAGACCTAGGGGCATTTGTATAAGACATTAATCTCTGAGAGAGTATAGTTCTAGGAGCCCGGCTCTAACGCTGCTGGGGTACATTAGGTAATTAAGATGCCGCGGAGTTAATTTGCCTTATTCAAAGACATGAAGCAGGCCGTATCAAGGAATAATTATAACCCTTTATATTAGCCCGTCATAAGGTTAACTTTCACGGTTATTTTTGATCTCCACCACTCCTTAACGCCACTTAAACGGAAAGTGTTGTTTCCACGCTAATTTCCGGCATGGCATACTTCGCGCATGCTCATTTCCAAGAATGAATGCCCGGTCTTGAAGCCGTGCTGGAAACGGATTCACGTCAACTTCCGCAATTCGTCCTTTCGCTCCTTTGAGTTCTTCCAAGCTTACGGCGGCCTCTGAAAAAGCGGGTGACGCCGATGCTCGATATGGAGTCTGAAGAAGTAGCTTTTTCAGGCGCTTAGGAAAGGCCTGAAGTGCAAATAAATGCCAAACTTGCTTTTCCTAGATATGTTTTCTTTGAAACAACCCCCGAGACGCCGACACTCTTCGGCTTTAAGTTGGTAACAGAGGGTGACAATGTGGGAAATGTGATTTGCTGCCCATCTAGCTGTTAATTTTGAAGAAAAATGCGGAAGAACGGGGTAAAATTTTCGGAGGGAAGGAATAAAAATCGGGTTTACAGAACTTGTGCCTGCAGCTCTTCGGGCCCTCTTGGGTCTTGTAAACAATTTTCGTCTGACCTAGGCGAGAGTGCGGCAAAAGAAAACAACTTCTTTCTTTTAGCAAGGCGGGCAAATCAAGGCGAGGAGGAAATCGGGGAGGGAATGAGCCCTGATGCACCCCTGGAAGGGAAGTCGCCATCTCTTTGGCGATTGCTTCGGAGGGTTCCCAAGTTTGCAGAGAGGCGCGTGCCAGGTAAAGCGGGGGGGGGGGGGATTTCTTCTTAGATTTAGCTCCGCAATTGTTTAAAAGCGCATTCCAAGGTATAGAGGCCCAGCGAGGTCCAGTTTTTGTATCCGAACATCAGTGGTTCCAAACCAAGCTACGGTACTATATCAAAAAGAAATATATTGTAGAAAAACAATCCAGTTCTAGGTCGCTTTGCTCAAAGAACCCTCCCACCGAATAGTGCCCTTTAACGCGAGTGTAGGCAGACTGCGGTTAAAGGTTGCGTTCTTCCAAGTGGCTCCCTTGTAGTTAGCCATGGTTTACTGAATCAATCCATTCGCTGGGTTCATCCCACACATTAAATCACAAACACATCAGGTCTTCTGGGTCCCAAAACACGCTAGGTGGCTAAGATAGGATTGATTCACTAGATTGGATCAGAGCGTGTCTGAACTTGGTCTAGAAGTTTTGCAGTTTTGTAGGACTCGAGTTTTAGATAGGCGAGAACTGCATGAAATAAACAGATTCCCTTTACTAGAACTGCTAGTAAATCAAGCAAATTCTCTGGATTAAAGCTTCCACCACCATAAAACACTTAATATTTCAGGTGGCACAAGCCTCTGAAAAAAGCAAAGCAGGATGTCTTTAGAACTGGAGGAAAAAAAATCAAAACAAAGTGGGAGGAAAGGAGGGATAAACACACAGCTACTGAAACTTTTCGGTTCAGCTGGAAATCATTAGTTCCAGCCAATAATGGGCAGCTCCCTCGAAAGCCTACTGGTCCGAACTTAAAATCCCGCTAGAAAAGACCACAGATAGGCTTTTTCAGAATAGCCTTCCCGCTCCAGTTCATGAGATACTGATGAACTCCCTCTAGGAGAGGCTTCCTTCTTGGAAAATGTGCTTCAGATTTTGAAGGTAATTTCGGCAGTTGAGCTGACTGAGGCTGATTTTGAACAACAACAAAAAAAGGAGATGGCAAAATTCAGCCCCTTGGAGGTCAACTGTATAGCGGTTGACCTCAAAGGCGGCTGACGGTGGTTCCTGGGTATGCCGACCGTCCCGTGT